ATTAAGGTGTTATGCATTACATTAAGTTGGTGCAAAAGTAATGGCCGCTCTTGCAAGCCTTTTTTCAGGCCATTTTTTTCCATCAAAATTTCTCCTTTGGAGCAGATGTAGCATACCACTGAAAAGCTGCCTTCATGCTCTATCCAATGCTGGTTGAAGCGGGTTTCACTCTCATTTGTTATAAAGTTACTGAGCTACAAATAACAGCATCCAGAGAATTTTGTTGCATACACTTTTCTGGCCGGAATCCGAGTGCCTATGGATGGCGCTATTTCGAAAATTTAGCTATGGTATGCCATAGGAATTGTCTACATCAGACCTACTTAACTGCGTTTTTTGAAGTTATAATGACTGAGATATCGGCTTCTCAATATCGGTAGACGTTGCGGTCATCTTATGATCCATAAATTTTTTTGAAGAAATCATTCGACAAAACTTTGCTCAATTATGTAAGCGTAATGCTAGGGCATTCTAATAGCAGCTTTCGCAAAAACATCCAGCTGTGTAGTACGCAGAAAATTAGAATATTCTATTTTCGGGACTTTGAGGCACACTGAAAAAATGTTAGAAAAATAAGAAATTTTAATTTTTTCTTTTTCGCAAACTCTTTTGTCCGAGTTCCTTTATTGCATCTTGTACTACTGGCTTGCGGCTACAAGATAGGCCTTTTATCACTTATATTAACAAACTCTGAAGGAAGTGAATTGTCAAAGACAAGGTTCCAACAGGAGAACCTTTTTTGTTTTTCAATCCATATTTTTCTGCCCGTTCGTGATATGAGTATAAGTAAATGTGCGCTGTATTGCAGAAGGTTTGCTGCTTCTGATGATCGTTACCGCATTCGGAAATGTGAATCCTTCAAAAAGTTTTAGCACCTCAAAGTGAGAATTTGCAAATCGGTCATTACTTTTGCACCAGCCTAATATTATACATCATCTTGTAGCGAAAAAGGTGGGCTATACCATGCAATCATCACCTTGGTTGCATCTTTGCTCAATTACGGTGTACAGGTCCGAACGTGCCAAGATGGATAAGAATGTTTTACGAGGAATTTTGCTCTATGAGTACAAATTGAAGCATTTTTCCAGGGAAACCACCTCCAATATCAATAAGGCCTGTGGCAAGAGCACAATGTCTAAGACCACAGCGGCGTTTTGGTTCAAAAGCTTTGCAAACGGTAACATGAGCCTGAAGATGAGATTAGGTCGGGGCGCCCTTGTGAGCTAAAAAACGACTCCCTGAGAGAGTTGATAGAATCACGACCTAACCAAAGTGAAAGGGAGATGGCGACCAAGCTGCAGACATCCCACACTGCCATCTCGAATCACTTGCGCCAAAGGGCAAAGTGAAGAAACTCGATAGGTGGGTGCCTCATGAGCTCACTGAGAGTCAGGTACGTCGGCTCGAAGTATGCACTTCTTTGCTTTGTAGAAATTCGGCGGAACCGTTTCTTGAACGCGTTGTCACTGTGGATAAAAAATGGGTCAATTATGGTAATCGAGGACGTATGCGCCAATGGCTTGACGTCGATGAACCCGCGAAACAGGCTCCAAAACCGTCACTACATCCCAAGAAAATATAGTACTTTCGCATCTGCTCAAAGTGACCAGAGAAAAACCGTTGCAAGTAAGGCCCTCTGTCGTAAATAGGACTGAAGCAATCATTTTGCAGGATGACGCAACACGGCACATAGCGGTCTCAACTCTAGAAAAAATACGCCAATTGGGTTTGAAACTCCTGCCTCACCCAGCGTCATCTCCAGACCTCTCACCAACAGACTACCATCTTTTATTTGGAGCTCTATCTACGCGGAAAAAAGTTTGAAGAAGAGACCCTGTTGAAAGAGAACATCCATCAGCTTTTTGAATCCAGAACGCGGGTTTCATGAGAGAGGCATAAAATCTTTAGTATCACGTTGGCCGTTGATTTTATCTTGAGTAAAAAAATTTTTTCAAACTGAGTAAGACTTAAAAAATTCGAAAGTGCTCGGAAACTTTCTTTACAACCTAATATGACAGTTTCATAGTTGGAAAATATAATCCTTCACTACATACGTCCTCACTCTAATCCAGATTAGCATCGACCTTTTGAGGGGAGCTCTTCCACCCTTCCTGATTACAACGTTAGGCCCAATCCTCTGCTGCATTGAAATCTAACCTAATGCTCAATATGTCCTTGATCGTTTTTTTCGGAACCATATACCGCACTTATAACTTCTATTTCAATGTTCATGCTCCTGCATTTCATGCCTTCTCCAACCCCTCGCTCCTGCATCATCGAACAAGAGGACCCATTCCCAGTGTTCTAGATTGAAACCAAACGCGCTTGAGACGCCGCGGGTTGCTGCAGCGATATCGTCATTGCTAGCCAACCTGGCCGACGATGATCCAATCGCAGGCCGGGAAATAAGGATTTGCGAGATGCTGAGGCGAAAGCGTTTAACGACGCACATGGAGTACAGCCGCCGGTTACTGCAAATCCTGTTGCCAAATTCAACGTTACAAATGTGTCACTTCTGGTGGGCTTCTATGAATCCTTTTCTGCCAGCCAGGTCTGGATAAGGATATGGTCCAGTTCCCCGCATAGTTGGCCCGGTAGATAATACCCTTGATGGCTGCTTTCTCTGCGTTGAAAGCCAAGCTGATTTTAACGCATTCTGAAACACTACCTAGAAGGAACTTAATCAGATCGCACCAGAACAGCACGAAATTGATGCGTTTGTCGCTGCATTCAGGAAAAGCTACGAAGAACCACATCGTCGACGTGTAGCTCACCAGGCACCGTGGGATGCTGTCAGCAAAAGACATGCTTTTTTGCCAATCTTTCATCACCCATCATGGATTCAGGACGATGTCCCCAAGAAAAACACTCTTTGTTAAAATTGTAAACCGCTTGCGTACGATATTCAGTCCCATGTCCGTAACAGCGATCCATCTTTTTTTTCAGTAAGCTTTAGGCTCCGCCGATGCAATCAGCAGCATTTTGCGGAGGCCATTTTGGAGCGCCTCATCGCACTATCGTCAGTTTCGGCACCATTGGATTAATACCGTAAGCATTCGATCTAACCCAATGCCATACATGCCTCAAAAGCAATCCGCAACAGCAGCGAGAACAAGGTAAGTCAATTCCTACTAGGGCGCATTAGCCAGACACAAAAACTACTAAAATCGAAACTCAAGTTGCGCATGCAGTGGCAATGATTGAAAGTTCCGAATGCTCCTCCACAGCAGCGCGTAAGCTCTCAAGTAGGTCAGTTTCTCTTTACCCACGCCCAGACGCGAAAACTGCTTAGTCGCACTCTCTAATCGTAATGTCACCAAGCCTTTCTCTAGATATGGAAAGCAGTTAACATGCTGAATGCCTACCTTTCGAGGAAGCGTCCTTCCCCTCCGAAGTTAAATCAATAATAAGTCACCCCGGCATCCCTTGTTACAATCGTAAGTCCTGGCCAAGTCCTTTCAACAAAGCCCGTACCCTGCACGAAACCCTCCTCCCGCTTCGACAACAGCAAAGTCTTCAAAACGGGCGGCATTACGAAACACCCAGACCTCTGCGCGGAGGCACGCTTCGGCGCCATCCTCGCCACTTTTTGCCGAAGAACCGGCTCACGAACGTGCCGCGCCTCATACATCATCTCAATATTGTCCCGTACGCCACTTTGACGATCTTCCTACCCAACAGGTGTGGACAACACCCAAATCTAGAAAAAAGTCTTTTTAGCCTTAACGGAGAGAGTATAAGCTTGCTCAGATCAAAGAAATTACCTTCCACCCATCCAGCATGGTCTTACTCCACAGCGTCGTCCTCCTCTGATCACGCCTTACGGCCACAGTCATTACCTCATCCCTGTCATCCTTGGGCTCATCTCGTCATCCCACGTCCTATCCAGGTATTCATTTCAAGAGCTGTACAACCTGTCATTCACCTGCCGATATAAGAGCATCGACATTTGCCATGCGAAGGGTAATAAAACATGTGCTTTGAACTGCCACTTTCCGCGTTCGGTCGATTGCAATTCGGGATGTCCCAGTGCTCTAAATTCGTTCATCAAACTCCAACACTGAAAAACACCATTGCATTTCGCCACCGTACTCTCGGCCATGATTGGAGATCTTCGCCGCTGTATCTATGACGATTTTCACAAGGTCGATGCACCTAGACCTCAAATCAGTTTCATATGTTCATTCGCCAGGAGCTCAGTGTTCCCAAGTTGTTTCCACCGTACGAAAAAACAGAGTATCTCTGGAAGGCAAAAATTTCTTCTTACCAGGATGTGGCAGTGGGCTCCAAATCGTTTTCAAATCAGTTTAAGCAGCCGTGTAAACAGTTTGAACGCTATGTTCGCAGATCATGTCATCCCCTCCAGTACGGTTGAGATTATAATGTGATGTTATCTTCAGCGGCAAAACACCGCTAGTTTTTGTGAGTCCAAGGTCGAGGGTGAAAGCGAGAATACCAGAACGAACAGATTGTGAATCAGGTACTTTATTGAAGCGAAACCCTTTCAACGTACGACCATGGACTTTTCCAAAACTCTGCAACCGCGAGATATTTTTCAGCTATGATCGCGCCGCAAAAATGACCTCAAACCTGAACTCGCTCCTTTTCTGTCTGGTCCGTTCGGAAAGCAAGTCACGCGCCACTCTAACTGAAGCGCTCACTTCAAAATGCTCAGGAAAATTTTGACGTCATGAATCTCTCCGCTTAGATGGATGCGGTCCGCAAGCGTTTGAGGTTTTTTCGTCTGACGGTTAAAAAAGAACTATTCGAGTTTTGAGTCTACGTTATTATTAAGCAATTTATAGTGGACCATGAGTTCAATTTACGTATTTATGTTGCTTTGCTGTGTTCGACTGAAGGACTACGGCTCTTAGACTATCGAGACACCTTATAATAAAACTCTTTCTGTAACCAAACATTTTTTTTCAAAAGCCTTTATTCTCTTAACCAACTATCATAGCTCACATAAAGCAAATATCTTTACAGCAACTGTGAGTATCGTTCAACTATTATGTTTCTATCGCCTTACGTATATAAACAAATCAATCTACAGAATGACTTTTCTATAGGCTGCTGTGTCAGGTTTGTTTCAGCATATCAAACAAGGTTTGCAATTCCCTCTCATTAAATATGGCTGGCGTGTAATCACGACATCTGCAATCAATACGTATATCGGTTGAACACATCTAAAAAATTTCATATTACTGGAAAGCTTCGTTCATTGAGTGCATTGATTCCTCTGGTCCTGCTTCATGCGCTGTGGCTACTGCTGTGGCGTTTTCAGGAGGCTGTAAGCAGAGGTGATAGTAGTGAATTGTAATTACAGTGTCTTGATAAGAAGCTGCCAATGCATATGCGGTCTAAGACTGATATATACATCCTGAGCTCTGTATCAAATGCGGATTCTGTAGGGACACCTGATCTGGCTTGTGCACTTTCTCCCAGTACTCAGAACACCCAATCTGGCCTGTACAATTTCTCCCATCAATCAACCAAGCAAGCCTATATATTTTCCTATTTGCACCTTGCGAGTCGTCTATAATAGTGCGCGAACTATAGCAAAAAATCTTTTTTTCATTATTTTGGACGTTACAGAGTTTATCATACATTTTTCCTCGAATCAATGTCAAATCATCGATCTAGAACTCCTTGCATTGTACATAGTTATCGTTTTTCTAGACGGTTGACATCTCCGTGCTAGTTAATCTAGAATTTTACACTTTTATACAGCTCAAACGTTATGAGTGTTGTTTTTGCAATGGGTACATCTCATCGTTAGAGATTTTGTAAATAGCACCAATATTTGACTCCGACCACGCCCTTACACTCTCTCAAAAACTTTAAGTCTGCAAATAGGTGTCTTCTGAACTTTCGGAAGCCGAAATATACGAAAGCCACTGCTTGATAGAACTTACTATGGCACCCTCTGGTACGGGAGGCCCTGGAGGTGGCATCTGTAAATTATAAGTCTGTGATTTTGAGCTATCTTTCAATCAATCACACCTGGAAATCCTTCGGTGGCTCTATATCTCTATCAAAATCTTCATCATGTCTTTCGCGTCTCCCATGATGTTTTCTTCTCCTCCTTTCCTCCGATTTCCGAGATGTTTTCCGTTTTCCACAAGCTGATATAAAGGTGAAGAACAGCACAGCATAGAGCAAGAAGAGTAGCAAAACATCCATATCTCTTTCTGAAACACTTCATTAAGGCGGTAAAACTACGCTGCAACTAGCCCACCGTATTCTAAGGAAGACCCTGAAAAACTGGATAATCCATGATGCGCTTAACTTATATACCAAGCAAATAAAGTGATAGCGCATTTTGTGATGTCATTTTATCCAAGCGTTGATTGAAAGGGTTGTTGACATCTATTCTGGATCATTTCTCACTGAGCATGGGGTGAATGTGGCAGAGATAATATTAGGCAGCGCAGCTGGCCAAGGTGGACAATAGGGTAACAAATTATAAGAACTTACGCTACATACGTTCACTAAAGCGAATAAAGAATAGTTTTGTTTAAGACAACTTGAATTTGCATAAGGGCTGATTTAGCACCAGCAAGGAGAACTAGCCGGCCACCGAGACAGCAACAACAGTTTGCTTGGACTCGGGGACTAATAGTGGTGGTTTCCAGCGCGTATGAAATTGCCGCAGTGCCTTTATTTTTGAGGTTATGCAAGAGAGTTACACTGGCTTCTTACAAGGGAAGGAAGGTTGGTCAAAGTGGCTTTTTGAAATGCATAGTGCCTTATAGAGCTTGGAACGCTGATTCCAAATCTACCTTTGCTATCTGCTGCGGCCTTCTGGGCGACGAGTTATGAAGGTTTTTCTGAGTAAAAATCTGAATGCAAAAATAGGGTAAAATCAATTGTAACCTTTTCCCAATGCTCAAATGAGGCAGCAGCGAAGTGGTATACTTGAATCAAGATTATTTGTTGCACCGAGTGACCCCGACTACCAACGAAGCCCTATAAAAAATGTCATGACTGATTTTAGCCTACTCTTGCATTCAGATTTTTGATCACAAAAGCCTTCATAATTCGTCGCCCAAAAGCCCGCAGCAGATAGCAAAAGTAGATTTGGAATCAGCGTTCCAAGCTCTACAAGACAATATACATCCCATTTCAAAAGGCCACTTCGACCAACCTTCTTTTCCTTGTTAGTTGTACAGGGTGTCCGTAAAGTATGTATACACTGTTTGATCGTTAATATCTCTTTTCCCAAGAAGTCTTTTGCCTTGCTTCAGGTACTATTTTGTAGAGCTGGCTTCAACTTAGATTTGCCGTATAGAACGAGTCGCCCATCTCTCTTCATTACTGTAGGATTACGGTAGAAACTTGAAACATATGGTGTCAATGTGGAAAAAGCTGCCGTTTCAAAATTTTTCAAAAAAATGTGAAAACTTGTGTAATAGGGTTTTTATGGACGCTGAGTTCAATACTCAACTATTCACAATATTGCGAAGCTTTCTAAACGGTGCAACCGCACTTTTTAGGAACATTGAAAAAATGGCCGCTACCTCTTACTTGGCATAACTCTTCAATGAAGCATCACAATAAGTTGGGAACTTTACAGTTAGAATCAGCAACTCTAATTAGCCTAGTGTAAAAGTATTCAGGCTGTTTTGTCTCCTTTCTGAGGCAAAATATGGCCTTTCATGGCCCAAAACCTTCTTTCAATTTTCTACCATAATCCTACAGTAAAGAAGAAAGATGAACGATTCGCTTTATACTGTAAATCTAAGTTAAAGCCAGCTCTAATGGTACCTGAAGCAAGGCAAAAGACTTTTTGGGAAAAGAGATATTAACGATTAAACAATGTATACATACTTTACGGACACCCTGTATAACATTACAGATGTAAAAAGTACAATGATTGATGGTTAGTAAGTTGAAGTACGATATAGTCGACCATTTGTAACTTAATATGCGTACATATTAATACCATGCTGCTCCTTCGCGACTCCCCTGACTAGATTTTGTTATTTCAATAATTCCTCCCTGTTTTTCCATTCTAGATATTATTTGATGGCATAAGTATCAGACAGCAGCACACATTTCGGAAGTTTATATACTCCGCTCAAAAGGTTTTACCAATGAGTTGCTCATGGGCTAATTCGCAGGCTCACATATCGAGTTATAAGTGGGTCAGCTATACAATACATTGCGACTCATAGCATACTCCAGAGTTATATGGCGCTGGCTAATTTCTAAATGGTTGCTTGATACATTTGATCCAATTTGTCTACTCCGCTATCGGTTTCACTAATCTTTAACGAAATGAAGAGGATTAAGTGATTGAAAAAAAACGGGTATGACGTGCCTATTCCTAGAAACACAGTTGTCCAAGTGGCGAATTTCTTTGCTCCTGTTTAGCAGCTTTTCCCTTGGAGAATGGGCCTTAGCGCCGTTCCAGCTCTGCGCCGGCGCAATCCAGTGCCGGAACCGACGTAAAACTTCGTTTTGACATCGACCTCATTATACAGTAGCGGCACTGCGCTAATAAGCGCTGATACGATCTCGCAAGATCAACTATAGATGGTACGATCCCACAAAACCAACTACTCAGCGCAACTTAGTTAGTGACTATAGCAGTCAGCGTCGACATTTTTTCATACTCGTATTAGGTGGATGTGAATCAAGAATCTGAATATTTCCCATTCTAGACGAGGCGTGGTTGGCAGCCAACACAGCTAAGCAGATTCGCGCACTTTGCGAGGTTAAAATACTGCAGCTATGCAAAAAACCTTCCTCTCTTACGAAAACTTGATTTGGCAGAATTACTGCTTTCAACATACCAATAACAGTAGACAAAGAGACATTTATATTTATGAGATCATCTTCGTCAAAATCACAACGATTTGTCAGATTTCAATAAGGACCCGTATAGCGAGGAGGTACACAAAAACAACAATTTCAAGGAAATCATGCTAAGCACAGAAACTTCAGCAAACAAGAACAGCTCCGATTTCAAGTATACAAAATATTGGACATGATGCTGAGAGACCCTTAATATGTTTTCTTGACTACAACAACCTTACATCCAACTAGGCGACAACGGTGGGAACTCGATTCAGTGAAGTGATAGTGAAATCGCGGTTCATTCGAATCAAAGAGGTTTTCTGTTCGCAGCTGGATGATCGCAGCTCATAGTCATAGATTGCTGAGACGCTAAGTCTGTCTCGACAAGCTGTCACCACGCCTTTTCGGATCACGCTACTGAAAATCGATGATCTGTTCAAGACATAGTTGTTTAACAGGGTTTGTTCACCTGAAGAATAGGTACAACAATGGATTAACTAGAGAATTGGCCGTAAAAACGACCATCACAGCCCAGTTCATCCATTTTCCATGTTTGGAGCATACGGAAATGAATATCTGAAAAAGTTGCTAGGGTATTTGAGGAACGCTGACCTGAGTAAAAACTAAGCATTTTATCCTCTGGGCCCTACCACTGACTTCCGGCCACTTTTAAAAGGGAGATAATTGACAGCAGAATCTCTACAAGAATGTGTGTACAATTTACCTGTAACTGGAGCATTTGTTGATAAATCAGCCCCATCCCCCCCCCTTCCCACCATTCATGCACGATAAGTAAAAGCGGTCGTATTTTGTTTCCTAGCCCTTATCGAAAAGTCCCAGGGTATAAACATAAACATTTTACAATCAGCGAGTTTTCCAACTAAGGAAATTTCAAATTGATCTTTGATCAATTTGAAATTTTGATTTGATCAAATCAAATCAATTTATCAATTTCATTCAATCTCGAATCGTTAAATGTTGCTATTTTTACTTACTAGTTAGTAGTTCTATTATCGTACTCCCCTTTTATGCTCTACCACATCATAAAAGTACTACCACGTTTATAAATCACAGTACGTACCTGTCCCACCACGAATAATACAGTATTGATAATGCATGGTATCAACAGCCGTGTCTCGATGCTCATCTGCCTTTGAACAGACAATAATGCTGGCGCTATACCTCTCGGGCTCCTTTGGCGAAGTTCTGAAATGGATGGGCTCAGAAATATTTTGAGGTTGTAAAACAGACTATAAGAACTCACTGATCGTCTTTTCTGCTTGCCTTCGAAACAAAGTCATCAAAGCTGCAGCGTATAATGGAAAGGGAAGAGCCATTAATACTACATTCCAAACCATATAATAGTTATGAGTGCCAGATGCTTCATACTGTACCCAGTCCGCGTCCATACCGTACCGCTCAGGGTTGAAGTAGAGCGGTACGAACCAGGGAAACTGAAAATAGCGGTAAGTTTTTACATTCGAAGTACAGTATGCTTCCCATACCTGATGTTCAACAATCGACTGCGCTAGCCCGACCATCCATGGAAGGATGCAAATGGCCACGCACGTAGAAGGCGGAAGCACTCGGAACCAATTAGGCCATTGTACAGCGGCCAATCGGGACCAAGCAACTACGGTATAGTGATAGACCATTGCCCACCTAAAATTCAAGGCCTACTAGAACGCAATCTTGGGAACTATGCCAAGAAGACCAGCTCTTACCACGTGAAATCTAAGTAGACATGCACGTGCCACCTCGTTTCCACTGGTAGTATCTCATCTTGACAGAGAATGGTGATGCCAGGCCATACAGCAAACTGAAATAGCAAGCTGACTGCACATGATAAGCTATGTCTTGTTATAATGCAAATCAGACTCTGACTGCCGTGAGAGAATGACAGGAAATTACCAGAACAGAAGCACTGATGTTAGGCAAATTTATTGTATTATTATAAATATATGTTCCATTGAACTCTAAAGGTAAAGGAATAATATTTTTCATTCAATTTTTTCCTAAAGTTGCTTCCACGAAGTGGTAGTGCTAATAAAGTTCTCTTTCTTTACTGCATTTGTTTTAGATTCCATTGATTTGTAAGTGAACTTTTCAACAAGCGAGCCAAGCTTAATTTGCCAGTTTTCTGGCCCTCAAAGTTATGTGACGCTTGTGATTTGTTACAATTACTTCAAACAATTTATGCTGTAGAAATATAATGCCAGTTTCGGCAAATGCAGTGGTACATCCTGCAATATGAGAAGGGGCTTGGTAAGAGGGGGCGTAAAATGAGATTGTCGGAAAAAGAAACACCAAAGGGTACTCATTTGTTTGATGTAGGAAGAAATATTAAACTAAGAGTATAAGAATTGGTGCGGGACGAACTAAGTGCGACAATTAGAAGCAGTTTTGTAATTCTTTTCCATAATTCAAATGATTAGTAATAACTACACGTCGATAAATCTAGCATTCACTGTTATTCGATTTTTTGAGCTGCTGAGTCTCTTCAGTTTCTGGCTCGAAACTCGAGGTTGATGAGAGCTGTTGCAAAAGCAAGATGGCCATGTTGTAGAGCTTGCTTTGCTCTATCGAATGGTACTTTAAATACTATCTAGAAATGAGAAGTGTATGACTTATTGCGGTTGAAATTCCAAACGGGCATTAATTTCCGGACAACCTAATAGAAAGATCGAAAGATTGTGACCTGCAGCTTTATAAGCACTTTACATCGCCGAAATTTTTCACAAACAAGCTTTTTTCGTAAAAACAGATAGCTTTAGAAAAAAGGTTAATGATTAACACCACAACTTCAGAAAAATAAAAATTTCCATGAGGTTTTCCTTATCACATAATTTTTTGTGGTTGTTTTCCGCATCTTTTCAAAATGCTTGGAAGTGGGCTACTCAAATCGAGCTTCCAACAAGCTCGTACTTTTCTGATCACGCATTGCTGCTCAGTAAATAGAGGCGCGGCAATGCGTGGGGGTGAGCATTTGCTCAAACCGTAAAAATCACAAAATAAACAAAGAATGTCTCATACGCTCATAGTGACCTAAGCAAAAAATGAATGATCGGAACGATCAAAGGTTGAAAATTTCAGGTGGAACGCAAAAAATAATAGGAAGACTCACCTGTATCAAAAGCAACGTATCCGTGATTGCCTGACTGATTAGAAATCGAAATCCGACAATTTCTCCGATCATTTGTAACATACTGTAGATGATCATCCCGAATAAGCACACACCAATCAACCCGAAAAGCAACAGAGATAGCCCAGCAACCAAATCGGATGGATGCATTTGGCCTGGTAGAGGCTAAATGAGGGATTTGATTAGCAAGTTGAGAAGAACTCGTTTGAGGCTCTGACGTCAATGGCGAAAAGAACAAACTGAAGGAAACGGAGAAATGAGATTGCTTACAAGATGTTTCTTATACTGGAGAAGAAAGACTCTGGAATTACACAAAAAGCTGTTGAGATAGAATTTCCGTTAACAGTTAAGATAATGGTGCTCATTCTTCCTGCTTATCATGGATTTAGACCTCTGAAAGTCAGCACAATAACATCTAGCCTATTTGTGGGGATAAAAAATTTTAGGTTATCATTGCAATATTCACGCAAAACTGCGATGATACCTAAAATAAATATTTTGAGATCTGTTATGTATTGTTTGCTACAAAACTTCAACTACAAAAAATGTAGGTATATCCGTTGTTTAGTCCATACAACGAGGATGGAATGGACCCCAGGAAATGTTAAAGAATGTAAGTACATTACAACAAGTGAGGCTTCAAAAAATTATGAATCCATTGAAGAATATTCATAGAAAGATACCACACAATTTCAGTCATAAACCTTCTCTCGTGCATGACGATTATTCGATAATACCATGTATACCAGAGATTTTAGTATAACCAAATCAAATTTGAAAAATTCATAATTTGTAAGGTGGCATGTATAACAGCGATGAGCACTCTCTTGTTGTTAGAGTGTATGCCATAAAAATAGAAACAAAAGATTCTTTTGAGCCTTTTCACTATGTAAAGAAAGAATATATGAGTGATTGTTTCCCGTTGATCACCTGCACCATCAGGCTTTGCAAACATTAGATTCAGCATGGAAAACAACCAGAAAGCCAATAATTTACTCTCTTCAATTATTCGTTGGCTTATCATTCATGGAACTTTATGAATTTACGAAAAATTTGGTGCTACACTAGGAGGGCAGCCCATATATCAAAGCTTCGTAGTGATTTCCGCTGGCGCAAGAGTGGTGACACAACTGACTGCGTAAAAAGTAATCTTTGCATGCACCAGACTAACCTTCACCCAACTACCCCTGCTCACCGCCTGTATCACCTCTCTTAACTTCGCCAACTTACAGAAAATTATAAGAAAGAATTACTAGAATTATCACGCATTTTCAGCAGCAGCTACTCCTGATCGCCTAAAATATGTAGATTTTCGCATCAAAACTAATCAGCGAGGAGCTAATCAAGGTTTTCACGCAGGAAATGGGGAGCACAGTTAATCACTTTTCCCCATGCTTACTTATCTTTCTCGAAAAAATTAAATGTGATTCGACTTGCAAATTCTGCAAATTATTTCATCTGTAAATGGGCTAAAAAGGAACGCGTTTATTCATGAACATAAACGATATAACCACATACTTTGAGGAACCTTATATGTTAATTTTCCATTTTTACTCGATACGCTCTTGGCGCTTTCTTTAAGAACACTTTGAATAAAAATAAAAAATCAAATAAATACTTCCTGCAAAAAGATGAAATAATCCAGTTTCTCATGGTTGGCGGTGACGAAGCAGTTTGAACTATGATCACACAGGAACAAATTGAAAGTGCATTTTCCTTTGGCTGGTCTTAACAGCAAGTGTCCATGTGGAAGAGGCTACTTTTATCTCGCAACATTTTGAAATCTTCGTAGGAGGTAGAACGGAAATTCCGCAACGTTGATATCAAATTTCACAAGCCAATGTCGCGTTTTCTAGAAAAAGGTTGAAAGGTTATCGAACATGAGAGTATTTCTAGAATAAAGGCTCTCAAACTCGATCGGAGAAGAAGGGGAGAAGAAAGCAACCAGTAATTCCTGAAACAAGTAAGAAACATGCCTAACAATAGCTATAATGATCCCTTTATACCTCCAGCACGAGCACTTTTAGAGAGGTCATCGCTAAAAAATTCAAAAAAAAAACCCTTCACTCATCGTTTCTGAGCCAATATTTTTGTCTTTAATCTTCATTTCATTTTTTTACGGTGATACTGCCGCAAATGTTCGATAAGTCTCTCAGCAATGTTTGTTCACAGAAAAATCGTTTTGGAAGGAAGTATGAGACGTAAACGTGTATCTACGAGGTTTATTCTAAGCTCTTCCATGCGACATATTGTCGAAAATGCAATTAATGACGAGTCATGTGACAGCTATATCGCTTCGGGACACGTCATACAGATGTGGATGTATGCAAAATTGCGCTTTTGTATTAGGTTGGAGAGAAAAGAATGTCGCTTTTTTTGGATTTCTTCAGCTAGAATTAATAATTTCTCAGGAACTAGAGGATATCCAAGACGAAAATTTTACGGAGTCCCAAAGGTTACTAGTACACAATTGCATAAATGGGAGGACCCAGGACCGCTAGGGGCGGAGTTTGCCATTTTTTGTTTTTCAATTTCTTCTTGATTTAATGCGAAAAAATACAGCAAGTGCACATATGGCTATGCGTGTGTGTCTGCTAGCAGGAGCAAGAGGTTCATGGGGTTTTTTGGATCGAAAATTCTTCCAAAGAAAAACAAAGAAAAGCTTTCTTTGTTGTTCTTTGAAAGAATTTTGCCCACGCTAACAGTTTATCATAGTTTAAATGGTACATCTTGAGTGTAAAGATAAAGATAAATTCGATTTCTGGCACTATGAGCTGCTTTCATGCTTTGACTTTGAACTTTGTATAAACCACGTCTTAAGCCAATATTCAGAAATCATTCAGGGCTTGGTTTGCTCTATCTAATGACACTCCTCGAATATTTTTATGAATTCTGTAGGTTTGCTGTAAAAAACGATATTCTTTTCTTTCCAACCCAACAAATTTTTTCCAGGCTAACCAAGCTTATCAGCTTTTAGACAATGTTTCATACATCTCACATTACCTTATACTTCCAAGCCATTTCCATAAGTTCTGACGTTGTTGTTATTCAAATGTATCGTATTTTCTTGCTATCTCGATCGATTGAACTTTTTTCAAACAGCAAATCAAGGGCATTATGATAGCATAAATCTCCTATAAAATTGTTACAAAAAAGTTTTCTGTAACAAGCTAATGTACTAGTGCAAAAAAACCTCCAAAATGTGGCGCTATCTTTTTGAGACTTAATGCAGATCAGAGGATGCCTATAGAAAGCTACAAAATAAAGTGACCTCCACCTTCACTCTCTTTACTAAAGCTATCACATAAAGGGTGTATCAAGTAAATAAATCTGCAGAGAGCAAGAACAGATACTACTTTGGAACTTGCACCAAGGACGATAATGGAGCAAAGCTTTTACCTATATTGCATTAGCTATCCGCGCAAGTATCAGCGCAAGAAGTGTATAAGGAGTCCTCAAAAGAAAACATAGATACGTGGCGGAATACAGAGAAGAAGAAGAAGGAAGAAGAAAAAAAGAGTTTAGAAAGGTCGTAAGCTGAAGGAAAAAGATTGTTGCAAGGTATGGGATTAGCATCTAGGCTTAGCACTACATACAGTGACCGCCAAAAAGTTGCGGACAAGCCGCCTTCCTTTTTTCATCGCTCATTTTCGGGTGCAAACCAAATATGAAAAATGATTGAATTGCATGAGGCGATAGAGCTCTTCAAGAGCTACGACTCACACATTGCGCTTTCTGAAAAATGCTTACTCTAACAATTTTAAAAATCTTTTTCTAAAAGAAGTCCGAAAATGGCCGCGTCATGTCGCGGACATAAATTCTTCGAACGCGCAAAATTTCTTTTAGGTCTTTTTCTGAAGCAAAAGCAGAAGTTTTCCGGACAGTAAGCGTACTGTGTTGTAGAGCTCATCGAGGACAATAATCGGGTAGTGGTTAATTCCAAAAAAACCCAAGCTTAAATTATATTTTGCCTTTTTTCAAAAAATGACTTCTAATCCCCTTTTTGAGCCAAATTTCTTCACAAGGAAACCTATTCAAGACATCCCAACACAGCCAATTGGATAAAATAGATGCTCTTTGATATCTTCTATGCATCAAACGTGTGCTGGTGAGTTTCTTTGCTGAAAATGGCTCTTGACAGGAAATGCCGTAACCCCACCTGCACCTCACCACTGACTTGCACCGCTTTGCAGGCCTGTAGCTCAGCCGGCAGTCACTCGACGAGCCTGCGCATAGGCTCGAAAGAGCGTGACTTCTTCGACAATATGGTATGCAAATGAGTTGGGTTTGAGAAACCCCGGAGATTTGACGGACGGGGTGAGAAAGCAGCTTTAATTGTAAGCTAAGGATTTTTCAGCTAAAGTTGAGCAAAGCTCCTTTCGCCACCAGTTCCATCCTAGAAGTTCATAATTGTTAATTTTCTTGTAACAGATCCATTTCGGAGCTCTAGGACTGTTCTGATGTTGATAAGAGCCTTCACTCCATTCGCCTCTAAGGCTGCGCTTTCTCACCTCGTCCGTCAAATCTTCGGGATTTCTCATTTCTCAACCCAACATTTGCATACCATATTGTCGAAGAAGTCACGCTCTTTCGAGGCCTATGCGCAGGCTCGTAGAATGACTGCCGGCCGAGCTACAGGCCTGCAAAGCGGTGCAAGTCAGTGGTGAGGTGCAGGTGGAGTCATGTGCACTTCCTGTCAAGAGCCATTTTCAGCAAAGAAACTCACCAGCACACGTCCAATGCATAGAATATGGCGAAAAGCATCTATTTTATCCAATTGGCTGTGTTGGGATGTCTTGAACAGGTTTTCTTGTGAAGAAATTTGGCTCAAAAAGGGGATTAGAAGTCATTTTTTGAAAGCAAAATATAATTCAAGCTTGGGTTTTCTGGAATTAACCACTACCCGATTATTGTCCTCGATGAGCTGTACAACGCAGTACACTTACCTTTTCCTCCGGAAAAGTTCTGCTTTGCTTCAGGTAGAGACCTAAAAGAAATTTTGCGCGTTTGAAGAATTAATGTCCGCGACATGACGCGGCCATTTTCGGACTTTTTTAGAAAAAGATTTTTAAAATTGT